AGATAGGTAAATATAAGTATGCTTAGACATCAGCAATGTGTATTCAGAAGAACTAGAGAAGGCTGTCTATCACCATAGTGCTTTAACAATTCAACTGAAGACAATGATATATATATAAGAAGGCAGATATTATTAAGTACTAATTTAGATGTTACACTGGATACTCCACTATTAGACTAAAAATACATCAAAAACCAGTTTAAGACGTTGCTTCCTGAGCCTAACAAAGACATATTGCATCCATGGGACTAAGGAAACCTGGTTGATAAATTGCTAGGAGATGGAGGAATGGGAACACATGCTAATGAGTGATCCCTCTCTTCAAAAGCCCTCACCAGTGATTTGTACTTTGCAGTAGAAATGAGCCAGGGTGATTCCTTATGGTGGCTACAAGTATCCATTTTCCACTTAAACACACGACAGTTCAGGTAACTAGTCCCTAGTGGGAATATAATGCATACCTAAATTGCTTGTTATTTTTGAAGTTGGCAAAAATTCAGGGCTAATCCTTTTCCATCTCACGGTTCTTGATATTCATGAATTTTGGAACTGCTTTGTCCAGTGAAATTGCTGACCAGAGGTCTACAGGACTGAATTTAGCTTAAATTTATGGATGATTAGCATGCAGTAGCTATGACATAAGTTTTACTTAATACATTTGTTAAAATCAATATCTTAGCATAGATGCTTGTCAACAGGATGTAGCCTTTATCAAGTATGTGGAAGTAATCATGCTTTTCCCATTATCCTGTATTATTCAGCATAATGAGTACTGCATGTCGTTACCATGGATACAATTGTGGAGATGATGCTTGACCCAAAAAGAAAGTTTCTACCTCCAAGGCATGTTTTCAAAAAGGAATGCGTCATTGAATATGTGCAACTTTACCATTTTGTTCCATAAAAGTATTCATATGTCATGCTCGATTAACAATTAATAAACTTTATTACAGAACAAGTGTACATTTAATAAGGTACAACATACGGTATGTTTTATAGCAACAAACATAATTATCAGACTCTTCTACCTTACTAATACAATTAGTTTGTAGTAATTGGTTTGCAATGGAAAAATTGGAAATGCTGGCACAAGATAATCAATATGAAACATCTCCACTTCAGTGATGTTGCTGAATGGACACACTGGAACACAGAAAAAAGTCTGACAAAACAGTGCCCTTATTTGGAATTGATCTGCCGCCAATCTGATAAAAGTTTGTGTCTATCCTGCCAATGTTCCATCGATAACATCACACTAGTGACTAGTCTCACATCACTGAGCTCATCGAGCTGTTGAAAGGAAGCAAGGAGAGATTCTTTCACAGATTACCACTAATTGAGTCGGCACACACTTATCTGGGAGAAGGGGGCACGTTCCTGTGCTGGTGGAAATGTTGTAAATGACTACCAGTTATCGACCTGCGGCTCTAATTGACTTTGCAAAGGTGACTGCACCCTCCTCCCTTTCCAGCTTCTTTCCTCGCACATCGAGGGTAAGGGGGTTACACAAGGTCGTCACGAAATACTTACCAATGTTAAACTTACAGAAATTTCACAATAGGAAAGTGAAAGGAATCTAGACCAGCTTATTAATAAGTCCATGAAATTGAATTCCATGAATTCAAGTTCTTTCACTGGTTGTGACAGTGTTGTACATGTAAGTGGATCTAGGGACTGCATCCATTTCCAGTTGCGTGAAAATTGGGCCTGTGACTGGAACTCCAGAGGCAGTGTCACTAAAGTAACCACTGGAATACATACACCTAGCTAAGCCTATATGTTCAATTCAGGCAACAAATAAGCACTGGCAATGATACAAAAACCTACAGTTGATTTCAAAGCAGAAGCGGAAGATTGTAATCATGTTTCCTGACATTAAAATCAGCTACATGTAGCCTAACATTTGCTTGAAGATGAACCTGAAGTGGTCTCAGGACCAAAACTAAGCCTGAAAAGGTCAGACAGTATAAATTAGTGTAATCTGGGCTGTCTCCAGGTTTGTATTTCTGTCCATCTCTCTCATTTTCTAGTGTGGTGGCCAGTAGGACCTGAAGCATAACTATGCAAGTTTCTAAGGTGAAATTGTGGAAGTTACAACCTATTTAATGCATTTTTAGAGGCAAATTTTCGTACAGCTGTTAATTATCTTCAAATCATGTCATCAAGTGCAGATTTCCTGGATGGACACTCACGGGGTAACATTTTTTCTGTTACCCAAAGTCTGTCACGGAACATAAGAGTGATGAGACAGTCCTGACAGAAATACACTTTTCCAAAAATTAAATACAGTAGGCCATGTTGTCAGCAATTTGTCAATTTTGTTGTCAGCAATTTTTCAATTTCGTAAAATTAATAGACATAGGAGTAAATCAAAGAGTTGACCAACCACTTTATATATCAGTACTTTTTCTTCTAAATCCTTCTATGGTCCTCAAACAGTACATGTACACATATTGCCTTTCATGGGTGTTCCATCTAAACCCTTTTCATCATCAATTCATCATAACAACAAAAGGCAGTCGAGTACAAAATAAATCAGTCGTGACAGGAAATGAAACAAATCTGCAGGAACTTGACTGCTAATGGTAGAATTATCGACCTACCGCTTTCCTGTAAACATCATAAAACTCTATCAGGTAAAACATATATCTTCTTTGTCAGGCACTATACAGTAGTGCACATTCAAGAGGTACAATGTAAGTAACAATGGTAGAATGAAGAGAATTGAATGCACTCTTGGCAGCTGTAGCAACCTTTCCCAGTGACTACCAAAGGATTTGGTCATTTTGTTTTACCGGTACATTGTGAATTAAAGAATGCAAATTTTACAGCTACAACAGAAAACAAATTACAAGACATTTAATGGCAACTGACACAGCTAAATGATAATATACAATATTTTAGTTGAACAAACAACAAACTTACAATATATGTATAACCTACAATGTAACTTCACACCATCTAGCAGTAATTGACAAATCAGAGAGATCTTCACTCTTTCAGCTACAGGTTTGAAAGGTCCTATATGATTAATATGACAGATTAACCAATTGCTGTTAATAAGAGGACATGCAATTTGGTATAGGTAATTACTAATGGGGCACACCATTGGATGAAATGGATAGGCAATTATTGACCTTAGTAAGCCTGACATGTAATTTCTGATATCAGGACATGACCAAGGACAAGCAATTTTTGCTTTGAATTTTTGATTGAACTAATATGACTGATAAAGGTCATGATTCCAAAGTTATCAGTAATCAAAAAATTTTAATCATTAAGGACAATCTAAGTCAGTCCTGGTTTTATAGGTACAAATACAGAAATGTCAATGTCTCAAATATCACATGATCAGGTCATCTAGAGGCAGTTTTATAGGTCAAGGGGTCACCACCAGACATCAATTTACTAGTTGTACATTTCCACTCCCAAAGGAAGCAATTACAGTATCCAATCTCCCTGGGTAACAGGCGTCCTCAGAGGCATGTTAGAACATTTTTTTCAGCAGACCCCTGAATTTTTAGTATGCTGTACGAGATCAGTTTATAATTAAAAAATTACAATTACATGAAAATAACATTGATATTTTTATCCCCCCGCCCACACACATACACATACTCAAGGTCTTGCCTTTTAATGTAATAGCCTTGGCTGAAAGCCCTGGTTGTATGTCTTCATACAACCAAACATATAAATCAAATCAAAACTAACTGACTGAGTTACAATGTAGACAGAGGCAGATCTGCCTAACTCTACAACTCCAGGGGAGGTGTGATATGGCAGCCTTTGGCAAGCTTGCTGTGGTACAAATCCTGCCAATCCCAAAACAAATTAGAAACATAATCCTTGCTTTGACTTGGCTACTATCACATACTACCGTTTAACAGTCAATGGCTGAATTATGCCCCAGAATTGTTTGGTACAGGAAAGAATAAAGAAATACATGTAGTACAGTACTACAAAACTGAGAATGGCAAAAAAATACATGAAGTTTTAACTATTTTCAGTATAATACTTACCAGAATCTTTTCATACTGTTCCTAAAGATTCATGCTTTTTCTAGAATGCAAAGTCGTGTCACCTCTACAGTGAGATGTTATGCATAGTTAGGCTATCCTTTGTAATGGAAATGAGGGCAAATTTCAGGGTGGGTCCAAAAGGTGAGGCTATGCTCACTGAAGCTTTAAATCTATCTGAGGACATGCGGCCGGTATGTAACGCTTACTATTAATTTTTTCATGGTAACTGTTTATTGTCTTCTTATTTTGGATGTCTGCCCATGGAAAAACAGTAATATATCGTGCTATGTAAAGGAAAACTGAGTCAGCCAAGAAAAGTCAATGCCCTTGGCAGGAACACTTTACAGTGCATGCAAGGTAAACATGGAACATGGTTCCTTTTTTCTGAAGAGGGTGCAGAGAGGGCAAGACTCGGACTGAAGGCAAGCACTACAAACACTGTTCCCCCAGCCTCACTTGTTCAAACATTTAAACACTGAGGACACTAAGTGCCCCCCCCCCCACACACACACACATCACCAGGAATAAAAGTACAAGTAGTACTATTAGTCACCAAAAATATGAAGGTTTTGTGCTGAGACCAAGAACAACATCAATTCCTTAGGAGAGGATTGACACAAGTTTTGTAACTTTAAGTGGTTTGAGTGACTGTATGTGGTTGTGGCTTCCAAAATGCTCTCAAACTGAGCAACTGAGATACATATGGCTTATTAGCTAGCCCTTCAAAGTAAACGAAGTATCACATGGGGGTAGAGAGGTTGATCCTTTTCAGAGCTAATCTAGTCATGGAGATTAGGGCTTACAATCACACAATGTCCATCTTCTAGTATTCTTATCCCTGATCCATGATGATCAGTTGGGAGTGATAGCATACGATAGACCCCTCTAGATTTTCACACATTGTGGGTAGATAGGGTGCTAATGAACCAAAACACCAGGTCATGACAACAACTGGTGTACGTGAAAAACAAGTTCCCTCACCTCGTGAGACTGTGTCTGTTGTGAGTTCTGCATCCGTGGTGGCTGGGCTGCCTTTCCTGAGGACGGAGCACCCTGTGTACAGCACAGAATAGAAAAGTTACTCAGACTAAACACATACAAGCACTCCCACTGTACAAAAAGGAGCCAGCCGCGCCTGACAATTTATTCGACCCCTGTGGATGCAGGGATTCACACCGAGCTGCCAACTCCAAACACCAGCTGAGAAAAGCCTGAATAGGGTTTCCTATTTGGCACCTCAAAAGGCCTGCGAGCCAGAACACAGTTGGTCAACAGTGTCTCCTCCAGTTCTGGACAACATTCTTCACAAGCCAGAGGGGAAGTTTGTTGACATGTTCTTGCCGCCCTGCAGTACTGAACTGGACTGGACAAAAAAAGTTCCTAACCTTACCACTCTTGCACAACCAGTACATACCTGGAGGTCATAACAGAACCTAGGCTATCATTACTGACCCAAGGGGTGTCTGTCTATCTTTGTATTTCTTACTCAGACTGACACCTGCCATATGGGGCATTTTCATGTGTTGTTTGCTTTCTTTTCTGCTGCTGTTGTTTTTTTTTACTGTGACTTAGATAAATTACATCTTTTTAGAAAAAAAAAGGAAATTGGCAAGATATGACTAACATGAGAAATACTTTGGAAAACATAATAATGTTGTTAAATACACAGTACTTCCACCAAAATAGAACAGATCTATTAGATTATTTGTAATATATGTAAACAAAATGAAACATTTAATATTAACTTAACAATATCAGAAAAACTTTTCTTTCATTTCACTTTCACTCCCACCCTTGTCTTGAATTTCCACGACAAAAAAACCCATTTCACCCCGCACAGCATGCTGTTTTTGAAGTGAGACACCAAGTCATTATTAGAATCAAGTATCAGCCAACAGGCACCGGTCTGTGAATGGGAAATATCCACCCTCTCAGTCTCACCACCTCTGGTATTGTACAGAAGCACACAAAACAATTCCCACACAATCAGGTACACTTATCACGCCTTATAATAGTCTTACACAGATGGATGATCTCCCTCTACAACAATAGCAATCCTTCTGATTACAGACTATTTTCTACTCTATCTGATAACATTTTCTATGGTAGTCTAGACACTAAGGCTTTACTGTAATCCATTGCATACACATTTTATCATGAGTTTAATCTGCTCATTTTTACAAACACACTTTCATACCCATGATTTTGATGCCAAGGAAACCTGGTGCTCTTGTTAAAGTTCAACTAAGTTTGAAATATTAATAGCTTGTGAGTCGTGACTATGGCGTGAGTATGAGTTTAATTACACACAGTCACCCTCACCTTTTACCAGAATTTCATCACCACTGCCAGTAAATACATCTTAAAATAGCCCACCTAACTCTCTTCACAATTCCAATTACTCGTGCAATTTTGAGCTGTTTTAAAACCAAAGATTTCCTAGATTTGGTACAGCTCTCTTCTAAAAAAGTGTGATCACTGCGTAAAATGTGCATGGAAAGATTGGAATTTTGTTTGCAGGTGGATCAGGTGCTGCATTTATAATGTTGATTTGTCCCCAGAAATGTGCAATGTAAACTAAAATCATTTCAATCCAGTCTACAGCTGAATGTCATGAAGATAACAGTGGTACTAGTTAGGCAGAAAATGCCACGGATAGACAAACAGCATGCAGTTTAAACTGCAATTGCAGGCCTTCTGTATCAGTAAGTACTGATGTACCGACATGTTTATATCAAGTGATTATCTGAGATTTTGAGAATGTATCATGGACTTAAAAACAAAACAAAACAAACACATTATTCAGGTGACAGTTTCCTGATAAAGAAGTCAGAACACCTGTTACAGCTTGTGGGTAAAAAGTAGAACAATTCAAAGCTGAAAATGGAGGGAATTGCTCTGTAAGTCTGTACCCCAAAAAATGTAGTCAAATGACTCAAAACCTAACAACTAGCAACAACTACTGACTGGTGTACACCACAGGAATGATGTGGCTTATGAGTATGCAGGTTATGTATCATATGTACTATTATTGGCACTTTGTGGTCACCCAATCTCTTAATTATGTGATTTTTTTGTTATTTATGTGAGGACCACGGGAAGAATTTCTGAAGTGTACCCGGTGATTATAGATAAAAATAAAGCAAAGTCAAAGTCACGCTAACCTTTTGTCTATTGCTGTTGCTGCCCTGTGGTCGTGCAGATGGACCTCTCCTGGGTGGGATAGGTGGAGGGCGGTCTTTGATCGGTGAGTTGGAGTCGCTGGAGCTGTAGTTGTACGCACGTGCGTCTCTCATCCTCCCAACCTGCTGCTGCACCAGCTGGTCCCACATCTCCACGTGCGGAGACGGGGAGGGGGGGATGCGGGGTCTGCTCTGGTGTGCCGACGGGTGTCTGGCAGGGCCGTGACTGTTCTGGGACGGGCTAGTCCTGTTCTGGAAGCTGGCCTGCCCTTGGTGGCCTCGTCTCTGTGACAAGTTCAAATGTGGTGGGATATCCGTCCTCACGCGTGGGGACAGTTTGGAATGTTTTCCGTTTGCCAATCCATTGGACGTCGGGGAATTTTCTGTCCCCCGGTTTTGGGGACCCTCCGCACCTCTAACTGGCTGCCTGTTCTGTTGCTGAGCATTTGGTCTCCTGACCTGCATCATGCCATACTCATCGCTGCTGAGATCAACAACATACACACTGTCATTGTTCACTCTGTATCCCTCCTCTTTCCAGTAACCAATCCCACTGTCACTGTTGCTGCTATTGCTATTACTCCGCCTTGGCGGCGCGTGGAAGGCATCTTGGTCTGGGAAGGCTTGCCATCGGGCCATTTCAATCTCGCGTGTCAACGTGCCCTCATCGTTACCTCTCTCCCCATACAGCAGTCCCACTGTACGTAGGAGAGGACGCGCTGAACGTGGGAACTCCTCACACCCTCCTGTTTCTGGGTTTGTAGTGCACGTTATAGAGAATTCCTGCGCTCTCTGAGCATGAATGTTGTGTGCACTTATCTCAGGGTCTACCATGAAGACGTGGCAAGATGTACCAACATTTAGCGACCGTTCGTCCTCACTTCCTGCATAGCAGCTCTCCTCATCCAGACCCCTCGTCGTGACAAGACCAAAGAACCTCTTATCATCTGGGAAGACGCCACTGAATGCTAGTCTTTCCACTGGGTATATGGCAATAGTTTCACCATTGTTATTCCGTAGTCTTACACTCCCTTCTCTCACTTCCATCAGGACCAGGGTATGTATTCTCTGTTCCATTCTCAACCTCCGTACACAGCTGCGGATGTTCTGCATACTCACAGTAGCCGAGTTCCCTTCTCTTGGCATCTCTATAGAGCCAAGGTACCCTACTATGACCCTTAGGAAGCAGTGTTCCTGGTCAGCCTCTATACATGCCACCTCTTCTGGTCTCAGATCAGGAGACATTGCAGGGTTCCAAGCCTCTCCCTCTTGGTCTGTTCTCCCCTTATCTTCCCGTTCGTTCATTGATGGCTGACTACGGGATCTCCGTAGATGCTGGTCCCTGGAAGAGTCGTTACACCCGTCATAGTTGGAAGAATCTGACGCCATGCCGGACGGATGTACCCTGGGCGCTTTAGGTCGCACCGCTGGAGGAGGGTCCTGTCCATTTGACCTGTTGACTTCTTCAGGTATTTCTGAGGTAAAGTGTGTGACAGGGGCAAGAGGAGACAGGAGTTGCTGAGTCTGAGGGCTGGAGGCGAAGAGTGCACCAGACACAATGTCCTCAACAACTTTCTCTGCTCGGCTTACATTTGGATACCTGTAGAAAGAGATGAAGGATAGTAAAGAAACAATAGTGTTGTAAATGCAACATCTAGTACTACTATCATCAATATGGTATTTAAAAAAACTACTTTAAAAGCAGTGTTAGCTAATTGTATACGATCCATACCCCAAAATTAATACCCATGATACATTCTCTTAGATTTTTTAGAATATAGTGAAGTGGAATTTTAAGGCAACGAGTAGCTTATTGTGTTTTGATTACAGCATTTTACCTTCTGCACAGACTACTGACATTCCTGTATTGAGTTTTTGATGATCATGATAGCTTTGCAATGTTTTTGTGTCCTTTTGTCTCCTGTTCTTACCTTGCACAAAAGCTTTTATAAACAAACAATTATTCCTTTTCAAGTCAAAAAGTCTTCACTAGTGTTAGACAATTATTGAACTGATACTGACTCTTAAATGACCTTTTAGATGTTGCTACAAGTTTTGTCCCTTGGGTTTAATAATTTCATCTTCTTTTCTACATGACCATAGTACACAAATTTTCTAAATGATTATAACAGTTACTTTGTTTTGTTTTGTTTTCTAGAATAGAGGCGAAATCCTGCAACATATCTAGAATACAATGTTTGAAAATCTAAGAAAATAGGATATTGTTTCCTAGAAATTCCTTGGGTCTTCAGCCATGTCCAGATTGAAACACTATCAACTATGCAAAACAAAACATCTTCTAAATTTCAAGTTCAATCCAAACACAAACTTTGTGCCATGTAGCTTGGCAACTAAATGTTTGAACAGCTTCCTGTTTAAGGCCACAAACACAACTGAAGTGCCACTTGAAGTTATCCAAATAGGAAATGATATATTAGAGATGTGCAGATGTGTACTGATTATGTTGATATCAAACCTATGAGTGGGGAGGGGGGCATACCTGCCAGCTGACCTGTCCCTCCCAGGTCTACCCGGTCGGGTCGCGAACCATTCGTCCTCAGAGCTCTCGGAGTCGTCCCCGTGTCTCTGTGCGATACTCAGTCGTAGGATGCCCTTACAGCCGCCGATCATCCTCACCACGATCTCGTGCGGGAGCTTGGCAACATTCTCCCCGTTGACTGCCATCACGTAGTCCCCGGGACGGAGTCCGGCCCGCTCGGCCGGACTGCCCGAGACGATGCAGCTCAACATGCATGGTACCTGTCCCGAGAGGGTGAAGCCGTACCCTCCCCTGCCCCGGGACACTTCTACCGACTTGAGGTTGGCGGCGGGACGCTTTTTTCTCCGCCTGGGTGCGTGCATGGCTCAGGCGAGGGGGACAACTTTACACCTGCGGTTGGGAATCACAACAAGTAGTCAGTCTCTGCAGAGTCCAAACTACTAATCTGTTTAGCGTAGTTTTCGTAAAAAGCAGCATCGCGATGATCAATTATTTCGCACACACATGGTCTTGACATTATCCTATGTGAACTGCATAATGTGAATTATCGAACAAAGTGCAATAATTTCCAGATATCTTCAAGGAAACCCAGGTCGTGCTGACGGTTGACAGAGAAACAACAAACACTCAGCCCTCCCACCTTTCAAGTATCAGAGTCCTGCTGGGATCACTCTTGGAGATCAAGTCCTCCCGCGTCAAGCGTCCTTGTGCTCTTCACAGACTTGAACACCACCTGTGAAGTTCTCATCGGGCCTGTGTACTCCATTTTGGGGAAAATTTCCACATTTCTGGGTCAGATTTTTTTCAAGGGACACCAGCCGAGCCGTAGACAAAAGAGTTTGCATTCCGTTTCGTCACATGACCGTAAAGCTAGCTCCGGATTGGTAACAAGTACCTGTGAATGGTGTATTTTGGAACCAGACCCCTCCGAAGAAATAATCAGCCCTTCATGCCACACGATTCACCTCTCTCTACTTGCAGCTGAAACTCGGGTGCTGATGGAAAACCAAGGGTGACTAACCCTTTTAGTTACTGTCGACTGAGATGTTTACTGTGCCATTTCTGATTTGCCTTCAGAGAAAAGGTGCAATTCGCATCTCTAGCGACAGAGTTTGGAACTGCAGAGTAGATGGCCTTGGGTCCTCAACGATCCTCTGTATACGTTACATTGTACATAGCAAAGTTTTCTTGTACATAACGTACGTATTTTCCTTCAATAAAAAACTGCTTGATGTCGCTCCTAGAATGGGGGCCAATTTGACACTGTCTTTGCAGTCACCCAAAACTTTATTGTGACGTGATTAAACAAAATACCCCTCAAGGCATAACGTTATATTTAGACTACAGCAAAACGTTGTGCAAGTTGAAGCGTAAAGGCATGGAATGCCATGATCATTGTTAACAAAAAATTTGCTATGGAGAACACAAGAATTAGATACATGTATTTAAATCAAATTTGTTTTATGTGAGGCATATTTACAACAACAGTGATGAAGTCTATTCACGCATCATTCTGGTCAGTCTGTCAATAAGTACTAACGTTACATAAGGCAAGATATACTTTGTGTCTGTATGGTTCAACTAGTAATGGTAATCTCCCCATCAATGTTACACACAAGCTTTGTAACCATCAGACTTGTGGCAATATATTACTGCGTTGGTAATATCATGCAATCTCTTGCTACATTTTTTATCATGGCAAGAGCAAAAAGGACAGACACAATTTTAAGGGTAGATAACAAACTGGAAACTAAACAATATATCTCAAATAAATTTGTTTACTATGACCTATAAGGGAGAAATGTGACTGGGACCATTGGGACATCCTACATTTTACATGGTAATGATCATCTGATGCACACAATGACACATATCGTTTCCTAATGTCTGGTTCAAGGTCTAAGTGAACGAAAGTAAGGCACTGAACTACCAGGTATATTCAGGTACAGACCTGTATGAACTTGTTTCTAATATTCTTTTTTCTTTTTACAAAACCTAGAAAAAGGCCTAATATAACAACTTCTATAACACAAAAATCTCATCTTTGCGTAGAATTAGATTATGTCTCACATACTTGTAATTAGCAGGTGATCCTGAAACACAAAAGTAGCCCCCCAAATCAGTCACAATTTGACACTGACTTAAAAAATATGCATTGAAATGCTGTACTGGTGTTTATCTATTGGGAAACAAACAATACAGGTCATATCATTAATGCATGACACTTCCATATCTTAGCTCTTTTGCCAAAAATAAAAATAAAGCACATTTTTTGAGACAAGAAGACTCAAATCTGTCTTTGGAACATAGACAAATATGGCAACTTCATATGCCTTTTTTTCTTGTGCACTTGTTTCAGTTGCAACATACCAGTATTAGTTTATGTTTCAGCCTCATCAGACCTCATCAATACTAATATAAGTTGTATTACCCGTACAAAAGCCGGGTTGTTCTGCATCACAAGTAAAATCTATGTGCAGTTGACTGGATGTTTGACTTTCTCTGCCATGGAAGCAACTGCTTCTCAAACATCATGATTTGTATTGCTTGTGTTTGCAGAATGTCCACATTACAAGGTAGTCTAGCATGTAACAGTTATACAGCCTTCAGCAATTGTTCCAATAATTTCTAATGGGGGATCAAAAACTGACTTCCCCATCACCTTGAGAAGCCAGGGATCTATATCCATCATAATTTCCAGGTAAATGTTTCTTCTATTGTTACTATAACTGATGCACTCCCTTGGCATCTCTGTCATATGCTGAATTCCACAACCTTTTGAGTCAATGCCTTGATTTGGCTTGAATTGGAGGGAGCCCATATATGTATGGATGGTAAATGTATGTATAAAAATCAGGCAGCCTTCAGGATTTCAGTGTTGGTTTCCAATAATTTCTACAGGGCTTGGCTGATCTCTTACACATGGTAGACAAATAATCCTCTACCAATATGACAAGCTTGGCCAAATGCTAACATTGGGTACAACAAAAATCTCAAGGTTGTGATTGTAAATACAACACGTAACTGGTACATGTGCCTCCATTGTTATGTGATGATACAAGGTTGCAAAAAAAAAAAATCAGTAGCAGCACTGATTGATTAAGACAGTGATTTCTAAACAACACAGAACCTGAGAACATTTCTCAAAAGGTGTCAGAATGGTGTCACGTAGATCTACATGTAATACGTGTACTAGCTTCGGCCGTCAGTTAACGACCCACACCTGGGCGAGCGGCCGCCAGTAGTGCAATTTAGCCAGGCAACATGTAATACCAGAATGGAAGTCTAAGGCTTTTAGGTAGTTTTGGAAATGTAACTGTAAGCTTGCACATATTTCTCATGCAAATCAAAAGACAGGTAAATGCAGACATTCTGTACCATTTTTCACAGTATGACTGTGCCAATACCATATTGCACCATTGTTTGTTGGCTTCATAACATGTCTCTTATACCATATCACTAAGTAGATAACAACAAAAAGAAGGACAAACTGATATTTCATACATGTATTTTGATATTTACTATTCTCTTCTTCAGATTGAAGTTAGGGCTCTGTGTTAAGGTAATGCATGAAGAAAGTCTTGGTATTGGAACATTTCCAACTAGGACAGAGTAAATACAGAACTGGTTGAGCTGTCCTACTACCGGTATTTGTGATAAAGTAACTCCTCTTTATTGAAACACAAGGCTGTACAAGTCGAGTGTCGTAGCATTGCAGCTGGGAATTTTTGAAACACTGTTAACAGCTGTTCTTTGGCATGAAGCTGAGAGGTGTTGGTTCTGCAAGGAAACAAAGAAGAAATAGCTTTACATTAGAATCAGATTATCATCCTCAGTTGTGTTCTGCTGCTAAATATATGTTCTAAAGGCCAGACATAATTAACAGATAAACAGAATAAAATGACTTCCGTGATAATTAGGACAGAATATTTGTAGGCTGTGCCATCTTTTCCTTCAATACTGATACTGAAGTACATTTATTTTGTAGCTTACTTTTAAAAAATCATTTTTTCCCCTTTCTCACCTTTCTGTGATGCTTCAACTTTCAAAGTTTTCTATTTTTGCACTCAAATTAGAAAATCTTACGTTTGTTTTTTTTCAATTCATGTAAGCCAGTCAAAATGGTAGGCCATCAATGTGTTACATTCATTCTTGGTATGCATATTTTCACTCTTATTCACCATCCTTATTTTCACACATTGTTACACTTCCAATATCTTCATTACAAGCAATATTTCAAACTCATATTTTCCAATCAAGCTGTAGTTGCACTAAATGAAAGTAGAGTACATACTTGTTTGCAGTTCATCTCCTGACCTCTTCCTACTTGTTTCTCCCCTGCAAAGAAGCAAATGAGAATTGATCATCTGTAACATTCAACATCTATGCCATGACATCAATTTGAATACTAGTATAGCATTTCTAACATAAGATTTGGACAAAAGGAAGCAAAACTATGATGGCATATTTCACGTTACACTATTTAAAGACATGAAAGAGTGATGTATAATGAACTACTAGTATGATATAAACCTATTTATTCTCTCACCACAATTGTGAATAAGTCCAGCATACAAATCAGTTTAGTGGTTAAAGCCCCATTTTCACTAGAGAGTGATCACTGAGTGACCATTGAGTAACAAATATTGGATTTGTTTTAACCTTGCTTTTATTACTGGAATATGATGCATGATGCAAAGTGTAAAAAATTAATTATATCTGAGAAATTGACTGAGCAATCTGTCACATTGTGGTCACCCATTGGTTGCTCAGTGGCTTCAGCCCCTAGTTTAGAGGGGGCGTTAAACAGCATCTATAAGTTTTATTACAATGTATTGTATGCTTTGCCGGAGACTGGTTCATATCATACTTTTATTTCCTGCTAATACCTTGCAAAACCCTCCCTTTCCAAAAGTTCCTGTTGCCACCGTCTCGTCTCTTCCACTATTCTGGGAAGGTCGTCTGCTGATACTTGTGGTAGGACATTGGGAATGAACCGTGCAAAAAGATCTGGATACTGTGGCGCTAAGTCTGCAGGAAGATAGGAGCATAAGCTTTCATTTTTGGAACACAGGTAAAATGACGCTACAAGGTTATCTAATGTTCAGTTCCTTTGAGAGCATTTCATGGCTTGAGCAGCAGTTTCAAACTGGGTTTTAAAAACTTGAAAGGGACTTTATGATATAAAAAAACATAAAAAACATAAACCATCTCCATAACAAAACATGGACTCTTCCTACACAGTTTAACAACAAACCAGCTCTTTCCTTTTAAAATGAAAAAAAAAAGAACAAGCCTAATAACTTGGGATCTCATTAGTACAAGGAGCAAGGAACAACAGTATGTTACCTGGTTTTAATGAGTGCAGGGTCTTGATAATATTTGCCATTGTGGGAGGTGACACTGCAAATGGCCTATTCTGTGCTTCTTGTAACATAGCTGAAAAAGAAAACACATGGAAGACATTTTGTAACATGTACATGAATGTATACCTAAGTCCAGAAAGTTCAAATACATCCTGTTGCTTTCTGAAGTTTCTTGCCTTTTAACATACAGTATATCTAAAACTTATACTCATATATTTGACCATAATGTGTCTACTGATCTGTCAGAAAGCTGTGATTTTGGCAACATAACTTGTTGTATGTAATATATGAACCACTCACGGAATAACGTGGATATGTGTTGTTCTGCAACATGAAGTGTGAAGAGCTTCTGCAGCTCTTCCTTCAGGTCTGTGTTCAGTTTGCTAGATACATAAAAACGATTCTGCAGAAAAACAAACAACATGATACAGATTATGATAAATCAAGAATACTACTAGATAGAAAAATCGATATAGCACTTCCTTCATAGGGAAGTACTGTATGCATTTTATCAGCAATATCCTGCTAAATATGTGTCTAAAACATTTCACCTAACCTGTGTAATACACAATTCTCTCCCTGTTTGGGGCCAAATGGGCCCCTTCCCTTACTAGGAGCCAGCCATGTTTCATCTAACAATAAAAGTTTAAACCGAAAATTGATACTCACCATGTAATTGAAGATAGGTGCAATTCCTCCTAATGCCTGCATGTACTGTGTCATTGCAAAATTAAATCTCTCCACATATGCATCTGGAGGGGAGCTCTGGAAAGAAAAAAAACTCTTCTAATCTATAGTATGATAGTTTGCATTTGCATAAATCTAGCATAACATGTATTGTTTGCATCTAGAATGTCATCTTACAAAGAATCTTAAATGTTCTTACACTACAGGTATTATTGTTCAAAGCTATGTTTACAACATGGATGCAACAGGGTTCTTCATGTGGGGTTTTACCTTTAAATAACAAAAATTCACAGGGTTATGGCTCCTTGTGCCTTTTCTTAAAACTTTACAGCTGCACATTTCTTTGACATAGTGACATAGACTGAGTAATGCCATTGGAAGTAGAAGTCCACCCATCCCCCAAATGAATACTGATTGTTCCCCTACACCCACCTTGAGCTCCTGTGATACTCTCTGTAGGTGACCTATGACCAGGCTCATTAGGTCGTTGTACATGCGCTCTGAATGTTGTTGACAAACACACTTGTACACACAGCTGGGGAAGAGGAAAACATCAACATGGATGTTTAAAGATCACTAACGTGAACAGCTGTGACTTGTGTACAGTTCACAGAGTGCAGACATCGTATGTACAGTGGTAAGGTCGTCTAATTACCACAACCCTGCAGCAAACTGCCAGCTGGTATTCTATGCACTTTGGTGTACTGTACGACTGAACTTGAATCTCACATGTACATTACACTTTACAGCATGTGGTAGCAGCTAGAGATGATGACAACTTTGAATTAGAGATTAAAAGCTTGTCTATTTATGTCATTTCTAAAGCTCTAAATCTAGTAATACATGTATCTATGAAGAGCTAAAACTAATGCTAGACTGGTTTGGTGTGGGCTGATGGAATAGAAAAAATCATTCCGATTTTCTGAATAAGTATGTATGACTATGTGGACTCCAGACAATAACAGCTATACTGTAGGCACACCCACCTGTACATTTGTTCATATGAGATAGGGATGTAGTCCCCGGGTGTCTGAGTTAGCAGCTGTACGATGGCATTCTCCAGCTTCGGCCAGTACTGCATCTCATACTCCTCCATACTGATGGCTCCCATCACTGCAGAGGGAACAATAACTACACTGGCTGTCATTATGATCAAAGTAAAGAGAACTTTCCAGAAAATTGCAAACACATCATTAAACAGCTGAAGTGTAACAAATTGTAGTAAACAAACTGGATTAACGTTACACAATAGTGTGAACACAGTGTGTATTCTAAATAGTACTGTACAGTATCTTCAAAAGTGAAAGCACAATTTTGCCAGTGCTTTCTCTTTGCTGCAGTCAATCATGTTATATTGAGGTCAACTGAGGTGCTAAGATAAAACTTGGAGGAGGAACCCCATATTTGGGCTAGTACCATCATCTTCAAAATTATTTATGTTACACCGTTCAGCCCATAATCTGCAAGTCCAGCACTGTACCCTCAGAGCAAGGACAGATGTCATTTCCTCTTCAAGCAATGATAAAGATTCCGTAAATTTATCTTCAGAGTTGCAACCTGCTATTTCCCAAGGGGATCCAAGTTAACTAATCAAAGTCGGCACCACAATATCTTTGGCTACCGCGAAGTCAGTGACAACAAGTCTCCTGCCATTTTTTTAAGTTCCAGCTTTTAAACCATCATAACATATTCCTCTCTAGCTAAACTGTCTTTGTTGCCACTGTGTGTATTCTTCAGTAAGAAGACACCAGCGCTAATGGAACGTATATACATGTGGATCGGTTGGATTTGATGTAAGTTAGTCAAAGAGCTAGTAGAGAGATGGGAGCCATTTGTACACACCTACTGGCCGGAGCAGGGACGGGAGCTTCTTGCGTTCCGCAGGCTTCTGGTCACCCTCGGAGTTCAGTGCTTGTTTCTCTGTCGTCTCTTCTGCACTCTGTTCTTCCATCGGTTCTTCCATCTTGAAGACCGTGTTTGTATTTGATCGATCCTTGACCTAAATACCATAAAACTTTCACCGAAACCGTCGGAACTGTCACCCAATATTGACGATGACGCAGTGCGCAAGTACAGACACGTCGAGAACCAAGCCGTGTTTCTGACATTTTACGACAGTTGCGATTTCACGACACAAACGCAAACTGGGTAGAACTTGCAGCGCGCGAATTTTGAATATTTTGACTACTCTCCAAGCAGAGGTTGTGGGGAATGATCGTTACCTTTTTATATATGGCCGGGTTTTTTTTGTCCTGATCCGTCGGTGGCAGCGGAGCTTCTCTGGCTAATGGATACTGCCTGGCCAATTTGATACTGTCTTTTTGCCACCGAGAGGGATCTGCTTGGAGATTATATTTTGACCCTGAGTATCAGACCTTGCCCCAAATAATTACCGAGTCTAAAAAAATACATACAAGTCACAGAGAGAAAGGTCTAATGAATGAATGAAGAAACGAATTGTTTGTTCAATAATGAATATTCGAACCAAAACCATGGAGACAGACCGGGCAATAAGAAGGGAAGTTCGT